GGGTTGAAGACCCAGTGAATCTTGATAATCAAGTAATTCATAGAGATAAGTTCATGGGGGGAGGGGAGGGGGGATTAACACAGAAATTTGAACTAAAGATAAATCTACACTAGCGTCTCACTGGCTTAACAGGCAGTTTAACCACAAAGTAACGTGCACGTTAAGAAGTCCCTTTGGTTGCACCCTTGTGTACATCGTTCATACATTACAATGTAGGGGAGAAACTATAATAACAGATCAAGCCTTCTTCTCTATTTTCTTCTTAACGTACTTGAATAAAGAAAATGATTGCCAAGAAATAAAAGCTCTTCAGTGTGTAAAAAACATTATCCTTATCAGTACCACAAGAAATAAATACAGAACAGAATGAGGGATACACATTCTGATGATAGGATGTTTAGGGTTAGTGGAACACTATTTCAAGCCGGGTACCCTAAGTGGTATTTACACAAGAGTTACTTGACAGAATAAGGAAATCTGACAACCTTCACTTTGACCGTTACATGATGAAGTAGAGGAATGTATACGCAACATAGTCATACATTACTGTGACGAGAGAGCACAGTAAACTTATCAACTCAAATTCCCATCTAGAAGTTCCCAAATATGCTTTTGTTAATAAAATAGATGTGTACGTTTATGAGAACGAATTGTGGAGAGGGATGTTGTTTACCAGAGGGTTAATGTACTAATATATAAGGATAAACAGTGTGATGCAATGAAGGTTAATGCTCTACACTTTCAGCATGATGCAAAGTAACATGATAATACGCTTTATATTTCTGCAAACAACACCACAAAACCTTAGCTATTCACATTTCCAGAGGTTTAACCCTGCGATGGCAAAAGAGGTTGGGCAGGAGTGTCAGTTCTCAACCTCTTGCTAGGGTTTTTCTTAGCAGTGCTCTTCCCTCCCCTTCCCAATGCTCCACTTCCATCTTCATCCCGACCATCCCGAGAGGGCTGGGACTGAGCGTACCGCGTGACCGTGGACACGCCATCCACAAACTTCGTTTTAAAGAGGACATTGGCATTGTTAAACATGCCATCTTTTAAAGACACTACAATGAACTGGGAATGCTTAAAGTGGGCTCTGAGCATTTGGCCGATGTTTTGTGTGTGAGACAGGTCCAGGGCGGCGTCTACTTCATCAAGGATGTACAGAGGAGCAGGTTTAAAGAGCAACATGGATAGGATGAGTGATAGCGCGACTAAAGACCTGCGAAAGGAAATAACACACGAGTGAATAAAACAAAACACAAAAACAGAGGGATTGCTTGTAGTATTTCCATCAGTTTACAGCACAATAAACCAACCTTTGTCCACCGCTTAGTTCACTGAGACTTTCCTTCCAAACGTTTCCGAAAGCCACTTTCACCTCCAGCCCATCAAGTTCCGTTTGTCCTTCTGGGGGAGCTAGCTTCGCTGTGGTTCCAGGAAGAAGAGTAGAAAATATCGAGCCAAAATCCTAAAACGAAAAAAGAATAAAAGGCTAATTGATTAGAAAATGTCAATGCGGAAATATAGATAAAGACTGTTAGTTTCTATGGCAACTGTGTTGCTGCGTCCGTGGGGGCTATTACAAGATGCTTTGGTTACGTCAAATGAGTTGATAATGTATATTGACCACCTTAAAGCTGTTCTAAAGTTGAAGTCTCGAGGCTTAGCCCTTCGTCAGAGCGAATGACGATGGGCTACGATACGGTGGCCCAATTTACATCGTCAACTAAGTTGATAAAACCAAATTATACGGAAATGTAGATAGTTTTGAGGAAATATGAAATTTATTTAGATTACTTATTTCGAAGGAAAGACAATATCGCAAAACACCTTGCCTTGTTCACTTTCTTCCAAGCGTTCCTTAGGGCTTCGTTCTTCTTCTCATCAAGTTCTTTGATGACTAACGCAATCTTATCTTTGTCGTTCAGGACAATTCGCTTCTTTTTCATTAAATCATTGTACTGTTCAGGAGTAAAACATTATATTAGAAATAACTTAAACAAATTAATTAGATAAAACATAAGAAAATGGTAATGAATTTTGCGTTAAAAACGACAAAAACAACCATGGCGATATCCAGTCATTAACCCTTTACACCTCTACGAGTGATTGGCATTCAATTGTTTCCCTGCAGTATCACTACCTTCTCTTCAGCTTTTCCAAGCATATTCATAGCTCGCATGTTCACGTTCTTTCCCAGTTTGTCTTTCGTTTCTTGCAGTTTACTGAGCCGTCTAGAGACATCCTTCATGTCGTTAGCGGCAAAATCGAAAGCACTGTTCGGTTGACCGAAAAAATTCCTCTCACTGGCGATCCAGTCGTATTTTTGCAACATTTGTTCCACCTGATGAGGTAAAAAAATGAATTTTGTAGATGTTATATTTATATTGAGAACTTTCATCCATGCACGGTAAACATGATGCGCATACTATTTAGACACAACAATATTACCTTTGAAGCTGCTTCTTTACTATCGCGTTGAAATTTGTTCACTTTATAATCCATCTCCTTAAGCTCCAGCTGAATATCCTGACCTTGTTTCTGTAGGCCTTGCTGTTCCTGCACTTTCTCTTCAATGGCCTGTAACATCAAAAACAAGAACATTAGGCACAGTGCAAGGTCAAATTATGGTTTACATTTTTACCTAAGAAGCTGAGTTTCGGTTTTAAAGAAACGGAGATGCACATTTTCACGTCAAAACGCGCACAATTTCGCGTCAAAAAGTGCGTGAATTTCCTGTCAGGCCATCGATATGTACTTAGTTCATCGACATATTATGAAATAGAGACTGAAACGAGGAACATGGTTCAGGTTGCATTTGACACATTTAGGAAATTGTGAAACTAATGCCTCAAGCTGTTTTGTTAAACACGGTTGAAAGTTGTCTTCTTCAAAGGAGCTGCTCAAACCGATGTTTGTCGCCTTCAAATTTAGCACATTGAAAATAAAAGTTAGTGACTACTTGAAACCCACGGATGATTCAGTTCTCTGTTTCTGATTTTTGTTCAGTTAAACCCGTATTGTGAAAGGGGTACAAGACCAAGAAGTTAAGAGGAGCGTAAGCAGTGTACCTCATTACACGATCTGAGGGCTTCCTTCTGTTTATCTAGCTCTTTAGCGGCCTCTTCGACTGCGTTCTAATATGGAAAGATAAGACAATATCATGATATATCGATTGAGCAGTTTCCTAGTAAAGGTCATAAAACAAAATCCAAGTAATCAGAAGTGGCCACAGCAAAGAACCAGTAAAAGATCTACAAAAACTGCGCAGACGCTAATAACGGGAAATCATGTTGTTCGATCCACACACGTGAAAATGAGTAAGTCACGCCTTTTTATATGTAAATTAATTTTTGTTCCTCGCCGGTTGAAAAAGGGCAGGATTGTTCCCCTATACAGCAATAGTCCTTTTTCGGCGCACACCCGAAAAGGGAAAGAAAAAGCAAAGCTTATTCATCAGGTCCTACTAAAACAACCTTTCAAAGTTAACATGAAGTACAAACTCAAAGGCACCTTTGTTTCCTTCGCCCTCTCAGAAATTTTTTCAATTTGCTCCTCAGCTTTTGAAATTGCTTCATCGACTGCTTTGACCTGTGTTAAAAAAAGATTATTACCCAAAACTTAACACCCTACTCTAATTTTCATGGACACGTAACAAAACTTTAACTCTAAGTCCCGAGAATGATTAGCATGGAATTTCTCCTCACAGTATCACTGTTAAATCAAACACTTAGGTCATGAGAATAGAGGAAATGACTGGCAACTAAAGAATCTCTGGATTGTAAAACAAATTCTCTTTGTCAGTGCCATGGGGAAATGTAAAGAGAATATACATATCGATGTTAGGAAGTAAAGAGTTAAGCAAGGGACTTTAAGGGAACATAATTAAGCCTTTCTGAACACTACTGTGCTTACTTGCTCATCGACTTTAGCCCCTTCATTTTTCAGCTCTTTCATTTCTAACTTCATCTCCTCGACTTCCTACAGAATATCAGCAATAAGTTGAGTATGTTTCAATCAATGTATAGCAGATCAGTTAAAGGGAGCTACGAAAGTTACCTGTTGCTTTGCTTTCATATTCTTTGTTGACTCCTCAGCTTTTTTCTTACTCTTTTTCACCTCTTCCTCAGCTGTCTTGAGTTCTTTTTCACGATGAGATTTTGCTTCCTGAAATCAAGTCAAATGTGGCTTTCAGCATGAACTGACTATCATAAGCTTTAGATATTCTTTAAGTTGGCAAATTTACATTTTCAACTCAGATGATAAAACCAGTTTATCTTTTAATACCCCCACCAACGCAGCACCACAGTTTCTATTTGTTTTATAATAAAGAATCCGTTAA